TGAAAGCAGAGCGGGGGGGGGGGGACAGACAAACAGTTCACCATCTGGTAATTAGAGGAGAAATAACGATATCCTTTGTGCGAGAGCTATTCAGGGAACGGAGAGAGAGAGGACAAAGCAGGCCGTCGCTGCTGCCTGTGTACCCGGACTGTCGTTCTTAGTTAGCAGAGTTGGATCACGGCCTGTCTTGGAGCCTCCGACTGGCCCTCAGCCGGCAAAGATTGCCATTCGTCTTTGTTGACTCGCTAACTGAGAGCCATTCAGAATCTCTGTGATACGTTCCACTGACCTATTCTCCGCAGCGGCATTTATCTGCAGTTCAAAAAAAGAGGGACGTGGAGGAGGGCGGCCAGTGGTTCGCACGTCGACCTCACAGTGCAGAGGTCGTGGGTTCGATCTTGTGGAGTTTGCATGTTCTCCCCGGGCCTGCGTAGGTTTTGTCGGGGTACTCCGGTTTCCTCCTACATTCCATTGACTGAACACTCCAAATTGTCCCTGGGTGTGAGTGTGAGCGCGGATGGTTGTTCGTCTCTGTGTGCCCTGCGATTGGCTGGCAACCGGTTCAGGATGTCCCCCGCCTACTGCCTGAAGATGGCTGGGAAGAGCCTTTCTTAACTGGCTTTAATAGTCATTTTGTCTTGGACCAACATTGTTTCAGCAATGCTACAATGACCCCGTATGCTGATCACCTCATCGGTAAGCTCCACAGAAGCATGAGAACGATCCTGACATGTCAAATATGGAGGACAGGGTCCTTCAAGGACCCAAATTGGTGAGCCGCCTGCTCTGCAGTCACTGCAAAGCCACTCAGGAGGACGCAGACCTCCACATAGGCTGATCTCTTGTTTCACGACTCAGAACATCCAATGCATCAGATAACTGTGTTTCATGCATGGGGGCATACTTCAAATAGCGTCGCGGCCCCCTCCCAAATTCCCCAAACTTGTATGTTAGGTCAAGTGAAGACTCCAAATTGTTTATTGTCGTCTGCCTATATGTGCCTTGTAATTGACTGGCCAGGCAACCAGGAGTCAAATGGGATCCAGCTCACCCGTGACACTAATTAGGACCTAACGAGCTGTATAGAATCTCCATCCAGCCATTCTCTGTACCGCTGATCCTGACTTGAGCCTATCATATCTGACTTTGGGCCACTCAGAACTGGTCGCGGCTGACTTGGTGACTTCGACTGGAGGCTGACCTGACCACAGGCACGTACAATCTGCTCAGTACCCGCCGAGCCACAGTGGAATCCGGTGTAAGTAATTATCCGTCTTTTGGCCTCCTAAGAAATGTATTGCTGCAACAAAATCTAATCTGCTCAATTTAAACTAACAATACAACTATCAATACATGGAAAGTCCTTATGACGAAAAAACATGCTTCAATGTCGCACATCAAATATTAAAACCACACTGATTGGCAAGGGACTAGTCGTTGATGAAAGCTAAAATTGTTCAAGTTCTCCTCCCGGTGGTTAATCTGCACCATTGCATGCAAAGCACCAGTAGTACGATAAGAAATACTTTTTGTATTTATTTAAGGTCCTTTAAATTAAGATTTCAGACTGTCCAATTCATTACTTTTTGTTGGAGTAGAATTTGAAAGTTTAGGGACCTATATCGATTTCTATGCAAGCACTTCAAAAAGTCTATTTTTGTGTCACACTTTCAGTTACTTCCCTGTTTGGCACTGCTGTTTTCCTCATTCACATTTTATAGCAATATTACATGTTAGATATCATTTGTCAGGCACACAGAGATGGATTTATATTATTGTACTGACGGAAGATGGATGGTGAACAACTTTCCTATTGAAGTCGCACCGAACGGATCCCATCACTCTGTTTCTGAAACGACATTTAGAAGAGGTCAGTGCAGGTGGAATGCACGGAACACAAAGCCGCAGCGGTTAGCCACTTTGGTGACATTGTTGTGTACTTTTGCAGCACCCGGCGTCATTGTAAGAGGCTTCGTTGTGTGTGTTTCAAGGTCTTTTCATCTACTGGTTGGTTCTTGCCAAGTCTGCTTTGAGGCTGCATCCAATTACCATTCATACCAAAGACTAAAACACTCGTGCACACGCACACGCACACACACACACACACACACACACACACACACACACGCTTAGGCCCCAGGCTTCCAAGCCCTTCTTCGCTCAGAACATTTTGGCCTTTGTTCTCTGTGTCTCTTTATTGACTGTTTCTCCCCCCGCAGCTTTGGCATAGAAAAAAAAAAGAATAATACAACAAAAGCTGTGTCATTTTTTTTTGTCTCCTCTCTGCTGTGTATAAATCTCTTCCTTCACAAATCGACTGATGCCATTCAGAGGCGGCAGCAAAATACCTTCATGCTTGAAAGGCCCCGCTTCAAAACACTTGAACTGTAAAAACAAAGCAGCTGTTGTGACTGGTTGTTCCTTTATCAATTGCTCTGCAGTTGCTGCGGTCCTTTATGATGTCATGTAGGCCTGATGTCTTCCAGTCTATAAGCTCAGATCACTCAGTAACACGCTGTCAGTAGCTCAAGCTTTCTTCCGTGTCTTGTGTATCCAGCTCTCCTCTCTGTAGTTACTTTGTATTCATATTTTACTCGCCGTCATGTGTTGTCCTGCTCTCAGACAGAGCGGGAGTGGATGCAAACTCGGAATGATTACTCTTGACAGCCTCCCAGTGAAACTGTGATGTCAAATATCGATGACACAAACACCCTGACCGAATGACGCTGCATTTTTTTCCTACGGCCTGCAGCGCCACAGTCCTGTTGTAGTACAATCACCAACCACAAGAAGGATTAGGTTGAGGGAATTATTTTTTTAATAATACATCAACAAAGCTGAGCACTTGTCACTCTCCGAACCGCAAAGGATTACCCGACCATTACGTAAGCGGATATGACAGCGCCATCGTCGCTTCTGTGTTGAGAAGCTGCTTAGCACAAGCAATTAATTCTACAGTAAATATAATGAGGCAGTTGTGAAACTCAATTAACCGCTTCCCTTCGGGCCCAACTTCCACCTGCGCTTGGCCCTCTTACTCCTCTGGTGCCACAGCACTAATGTGTAGCCTCATTTGTCCACTGTGCATCCTCTTGGAGTGTAGCCCTAGCACGGGGTTTGGAGGTTTTGATGGAGCTCAGAGGCAACAAGGTTTTGTGTCGCTGCGAGGGAGCGCCAATGATGCTGGGAAGGTGAGTTGGGGTTTACACAGCTTGCCGACAGGCCACAAAACAAAGCCCCAATGTCAACACAGAGATGCTCTGACTCCTTCGCTGCTAACCAGATGGCCCCCGTCGCTCCATTTAATCCGACACACGACAGCCTGCTTTCTGGATTGTTTTCCTGGCTGCATCTCTGAGCACATTCTGTCAAATTGAAAGTTCATTTACTCATAGTCAAATCTTTCACTCAGCCCAAGTTCGCTTTTATGGAATCACAGATTTTTTTTAAAAAAATCATTAATTTATACAGTACAGTGCAAAGGTCTAATACCAGCACTCCCTCGCTTTGTTGTTTGTAATAACCAGTTTCACAGCAGACAGGTTGTGATAGTAGAATCAATTAGATGTTTTGTTACTATTATACAGCAAAGACACAACTGGTTCGAGTACGACTTCGACCTTCCTGTGTGGAGTTTGCATGTTTTGCCCATGCCTGAGTGGGTTTTCTCCGGGTGCTCCAGTTTCCTCCCACAATCCAATCACATGCGTGGCAGGTTAATGGAACACTCGAAATTAGCTGTGAGAGTGAGTGTGAGCGTGGATTGTTGTTCGTCTATGTGTGCCCTGCGATTGGCTTGTATCTATCTATCTATCTATCTATCTATCTATCTATCTATCTATCTATCTATCTATCTATCTATCTATCTATCTATCTAATCTAATCTAATCTAATCTATCATGTGTCACTATCTATGGTGCTGAATGTTGCTACAGTATTTGAGACAGTTTTCGACGCAGGCTGCCGCGCACCAAATGTGAGCCAAAAACGGGGACGTGTGGTGACGCATCATTGTGCGCGTTGCGTGAAGCTCCAATGACGTGAGGAGAGCGCGAGGCGTTCTGGCGGAGGGGGGGGGGGGAAGAGGAGGGGCGACAGGGAATCCCAGAAAGGAGTCACACAAATATCGCGTTGCTGCTGCTTGCCCAGTCTTATTGGGAGCGAAGATGGACGACTGAAGAAGAAACGGTGTTTTATCGAGAGGAAAGTTATGTGTGCCGACCGAACGAGGAGCTCCTGGTTGAGTAAGCGGCTCTGGGCTCCGGTCCTCCCGTGGGACGTCAAGCAGGCGTTTGGCCCAGCTGGGCTTTCCAAGTGGCAGTTCTCGCGTGGAAAGAAGCTCGCGTTTCTCGCGGGCGCTGTTGTGACACAGCAGGACGAGTCAAGATCAGGTTGGAGCTCCTAAATAGGAGTCACAACTCCCTCCTGAACCGAATCCAGACGGACAAACCTCTGGCGGGTTGTCAAGGATGTACGGACAACAACTGTCAAGAGTGAGGTTCCGCTTGGCGGCTTGTTTTTATTGACACGAATTCGGAGCAGACACAATGGGGCCGCTCGCTATTTGTGTCACGACGTGCTCCTCCTCGACGTGACACCGGACCCCTCAGCTCAGGACTTTGCTGCTACTGTTGCGGTGCAGTTCGGCCGGAAGCTGAAGTCCCGTTCGGTCCGAACACGGAACGGAGCGAGCTCGTTATTTTATTGCCATTGCACTTGATGAAGACATGGATGACTCGGGCATAATACGACGCCGGAGGCTGCAGGTGAGCTCACGCTGGACATCGCCTCTCTCTGACGTGATCCTCAATATGTATTGCGTATATTCACCCGAAATCGCAGAATCTTTCTGTATTTGTATTTTTTAGAACATAAATCCATATACAATTGTACTGTTGTTTCCTTGTGCTGCACCATTAGCTCAACTTTTATCCCCATCAACAGTTTTTTTTTTGTATGGGCGATAATTGTCATTGTTCTACAATGCATTAGTGTTATTAAAACAATATATTTATAATACATCGTACTATAACAGCTGTAACTAATGTCAACTATAATGATAAATAATATGATAAAATTTGTATCTTTAATAATACAAATGTGTACTAGTCAAAATTGATTTCCATCATACAGCACAGCACACTCTATAAAAATATAATTGAAGGTCCTGCAGTGCCGTTTCTGAATGTTGACGAATTGACAGAGGTGGGCCTGTCAGTGAATGTTGACGGTCTGTCATTTGACATTCGCCAGTGGCTGGGCCAGCTTCACTCCATCGTCGTTATTTTAACATAACTCGCTAAATTACAATTTGTCACCGCAGTTTTAGGACCGTCAACCAGTTTGTCATCTTCAGTCCGTCATCGTTACTGTAACCACGCTTTCATCCTCTCGAGATTATAGTTTGAATTTTTGTTCTTTTGTTCTAATGCTTTAGTAAACAAATTATTACAGTTGGCCACCACTATTTTAGGATCAGATCTTCCTTCTTCTCTTTTGGCATCGCATCAGCGATAGCCAATCAGAGAATGGACATACAACGTCACAAGCAAACTGTGTGTTGAAATCAGAACAATGTGGGACAATATCTTTGCGGTCTGTGGGAACAGGAGTTCTACAACACAGCCATTGACCGAGACAAAAAGGACCGAGCTTGGAGAAAAGGGAGCAAGAAATTTCACTTATCTAGTTCTTTGTAGTTACTTGTTTAGAGCTGTTGAACTGTCAATGGGATTGTTCAAGGTATGTTTTTTTTTTTCCATCATTGCTGCGGTGAGGTTCTCCTGCCCTCGTAGGATCACGAATATGATTAGAAGAGCTTATGTAGGCCAAAGAGGGTGCTTGACGAAATGTTGCAAATGAATTGTACCCCATGCGTGCTGATTCAAACCACTGTGCTTATCCGATTTGAAGCTTCCTGCTTAATCATGGGTCATGCAAACCCCCCACCCCCCATTTTTTTCCCCCCCACTCCCCCACCCCCAATCTCTGCATGATTCAGTCAAGTGTACTGAGCAGAGATGAGCAGCCCGCCGGGCGGTTTGCAGCCTCTTGTGCGCATGCCATGTGTGCTTTTCTGTTGACATGTATTTCCATTTATTCATTCGGTTAGCGGCATGCCAACCACAAATTAGCATTGCTAGCAAATGCTAGATGATCCTACTTCGAAGCTGGTTAGCGGCAAATTGACCCCTATTCCAAGCGAGAGAGGATAGAGAGAGGAGAAAGGTATCAAGGAAGGATTAGTAGTGAAGTGTGCCAATGGGTTTTATGTATCATCATCATCCCCACGACCGAGCTCCTGGCTGCGCTGTCATGATGTAGAACGAGCTCGAGGGCAATCTATCATCATACTGTCAGGCTCACAAAAGCCAATGGTAGGCGACACGATGGTTGTCTGGCAAATTTCTGCATGTAAAAGAGAAACGTGTGTATGGCTGACTCTTAGCTCTTCTGGCGCCTGTGCGTGCGTGCAATGTGAAATGGTGTGTTGAGATATAATTGGCTGCCTTGTCAGTCGTTCCCTTGGGTCTCATCAACCCAAATGTCGTGCTGTGTCTTTCTCTTTCACATACACACATTTCTTTGCGCACCATATGGCGACACATCCCACTCCCCTGCAATTAGGGGCAGGGGTCGCACATCCGTGATGCATGGCCTCAAAATGCCGAACGTGAATTTAGATCACGTCTCGCTGTGCCGGCACTCATTGAGATTTCAGTGTGACTCAACCATTAGGACAGGCCACAGTTTAATTAAATCTGAAACGCAAACGAGAGATGTGCTGTCAGTTTTATTTAATGTATTTCTGAGAAGCGAGAGCCTCCAAGTATTACACCGCGGGTGTTGTGTGACTTCTTTCCACAGCAGTCATTTTGACCCAGTGCGTAGTAGGACAGATGCAACTAGCAGAGCGCTTAAATTCATTTGGAGTGGTTTGTGGTCTAAATGTTGAGACGCTGGCAATGGTTCTTTGATCTCACCTGTGCCGCAATGTTTATCTTGCACATCTTTGGAACTAAAAACTAAACTTGTTTTTGGGGGGCCAATCACCCGTTGGCGGACGTGCTCACCTGGTATAGTCAAGAAAATGTAGAAATCCAGTCAAATTTTTTTTCACTCAGAAGTTAGTACATTTTTTTGACAAAATTATGTTTGCATAGTAGTTTATTTAAAAAAAAAAAATTGACATTTTTTGCTCCCGGGTTGTCGAGTGACTTTTCTAATGACACAACAAGAGCGGTGACTCAAATCTTGAGAACCTGCCCTCGGAGTGCGCACAATTTTACTTGTATGAGCGCCAAGGGCTTACTCATAAACGAGGTTACTCATTGTCAAAGTCAACATGCTTTGACAGAAACACGGCATCTGCAGGTGACGTCTCGAAAACCCACATGCAAACATCATGTTGTAAAACCCAAATTTGGAGAGGACAACCATGCAGTAACAAAAAGGCATTTGTGAGGCAGCAGTCCTACCGCCGAAGAAAAATACTTCCCACGTTCTATCAAGTGGATCTCATTTGTTTGAAGCAAGGTTGCGTGCATTCAGGAGCGGGGCCTAAAATTGGTCAGATTTGTGCGTGGGTTGCCTTATTAAAGGGGTTGAAACAGAAAAATCTGGTCACTCGACATTATGAGCAAAGACGAGCTTTGATTGGAATTAGCAAATGAGATGTGGCTTTCTGGCCTGTTTGCAAATTGAAATGGATTTTAGATATATAATTAACGGTGAGAAAGGAAATCCAAGGTGACAGTAGCAGGCATTATAATCCGGAAGTGATGGAGAATTAATGTCGTTGAATTTTTAGTAGGCTAATTAAGGCCATGTTTGCGTGAGGATTTGATTTTAGAGCGCCCAGTCTGCGGATAGGCCATGTTTGCGTGAGGATTTGATTTTAGAGCGCACAGTCTTGGACTCCCTCCATGGTTTTGACTTCATGGTGTTTGCAGGAACGCCACTTTTTCATCAGCAGCATCCTCAAACGAGCGGAGGCACTCATCGTGTAAGCGTGGAGCAATCATAAGGGTGCCCCGTCTGGTAGCAGGTGCTTATTTTTCCTGCCAAAAAGACAGAGAAAGATGCCCCCGCAGAGGCAACCACAGCATTCAATAAATGCGGGCTGACCTCAATTTCCCTTCGAGTTCCTGAAGTGGAAAACCATGGCCTTTCGACAGCTGCACGTTGTTTAATGTGCCAACTTGTTATTGCCTCAACGATCAAGAGTCCCTCAGAGGGACAGTGGGCAGATGCTCACAGGTTTGATTGACACAAAAGCATCGGAATAACCGTGGTCTGCTCTATTCCCTTGATCAATGCTTGAATGTTTTTATTATTATTATTATTTTTTTGCTCATTCTATGTGGTTTACCGAAGTAAGACCGTCCCGGTGTGACGTGACTACCAAACAATGTCCATAGTCCGTTCCGTGGCTGCCAGTTAGTCGATACCTGGCGAACGGCACCTTTTCGATGTCAACCTTCATACTGTATGACGGAGGAAGGTGTGAAGCTGCCAATTCACTAATTTCATCTGACGCGAATACATTGCGCGGTGCTTCTCATCGGAAACCCTCAAGCGTAATTAGAAAGACACGCGCGGCCAGCCAGGTTATATTCAAGGCTGAAGGAAAAGACCTTGTTCTTGTTCTGTCAGCCTGCGCTCCACCCTTGTTTACTCGTTTGTGAATCGCCAGCTTTTGTTGGCATCCTCTGACGGTGCTCCCTGTCCATATGGGCGCAGGAGGGGCAGGACGGAGAAAGTGGGAAAGTGTGGCTGAAATGAATGCCGATACATGTGCACATGCTGTTGCATTGTCTGGTCGTGGCTTTGCAATGTTGAACGAGGAGCCGCCATTTCTAAGGAAAGGAAAACATTTCACATTCACATTGAAAGGGAGTAAAATGTCCGTATATTATCCTCAAATGTATTTTTCCATTATTTAAATTCAACTCGGCACAATGGCATTGAAAGAGCACTTTCAAACAAGCGCCGCTATATACAAAGTGCTGTACATAGAGCAAAAATAATTCATACAACAACAAAACAATAAATGAATAACAAAGACAGTAGAAAGCACAAAAACAGTCAACCTAAAAATCAAGTCTCATGCGGAGTGAAAAGGCACAAAGAATAAAAATGAGTTTTAAAACGAGTTTTAAAGCTGGGAGGAGCTCTGAGGGGTAAGGTGGGGCGAGTCCATTTCAAGATTTGAAAACAAAGAACGAGATCTTCAAAAAAAAACCTCTCATATGAGCCAGTGAAGGGATGCCAGAGTCGGAGTTATGCGCTCCCTCTTACAAGTGCCAGTCAAGTCGAGCGGTAGCATTATGGACCAACTGGAGACGCTTCAAAGAAGATTGGCTGACTCCAAAGTCAAGTGCATTGCAGTATTCCAGCCGAGATGTGACAAAGGCAGGAATGACTCCTTCAAAGTCCTCTTAAGAAATGAAACAATCACAAAATCATTTTAAGCACACACAGTTTCAATAAATATACTGTATACCGTAAATCTACAGTCTGACTCGGCAGCAAAACAAGCTGTTTTTGCTTTCTGTTCTATTTCCATTTTTTTTTTTCATTCGTTCAGTTTGATAGCATCGTCGTTTAGCTTAAACGCTCAAACTGTTGTATGGAAATACACATGACCCAATGAAAAGGTTGCTTGGTGCAATGCATTTACGACTGCAGCAATGTTGATACATTTAGTCATGTGTAATAAGAGGATTTCCTCACATCATTTCGATTCTGCACGGGGAAAAGCATTTCTCCGACTCTGTTGTTCTCTACTATCGATGTGTTGGCGCTTCCTGTGATGTGCATCGTGTGGACAGAATTGACCTGCACAGAAATTGTGGATTTTCCCCTACCTGATCTTTTTTTTTTATCGTGTTTGTGTTTCTTCCAGAAGGATTTGCCGCTGCCTCGCAAGAGCAGCAGGTGAGTGTTACCTTCACTTCTCCCTCCCTCCTTCCTTTTTGTCCTCGCTCCCTCCATCTTTGCTCTCGTCGCCCCGAAGAGTGTTTCTTAAAGGAAGCTCAGTGGTGTTGGTGGTTTGGAAGGTTGTGTGAGTGTCAAGTAGGTGGAGTGATGCTCGGGCGTCTCTCGGGTACTGGTTGCTGTCCGTGGTGCTGAATGCAAGTGCTCCCTTTTTCGGTAGCTAAATCTCACATCTCACATCTACCTATATTTTGCGACAGCCATGATTTGAATGCAGGCTGGGCTTTGTCCCCCGCCCCTTCTCCCCTCGCAGGATATCAGCAGCCACCATACATTATAGACGAGCTCCTTGCCTCCTGCATCCATTCATAGGTCAACCCCCGCGCAGCCATTTTGAGAATAAATAATACACATTGTTACCAGCTTTGCCCTTCGGCAAAATCTTTACATCTCTTCAACCTGTTACGCAACAGTCCGCATGACCTTGGATCTCTGTTTGCTCTCAGCATCATTCATTCATTCCTAGTTTCCATTGCCCGAAGTAAAAGCTTTTAACTCATCTTGAAGTGCACCCAAGTGGAAGCGGACAAAAAAAAGAAGCGTCATATATGACACAACCATAGCTTGGGAAAATTACCCACAATCCCTTGCTGCCTCTTCATTTTCGTCTCCTGCCTTGATTTTCCGCAAACACACACACACGCACACACACACACACACGCACACACACGCACACACCAGTGCACTTTTAAATAGAGTTGGAGCTCCCCGGCTCAGCGGGAGACCCGCTGCATTCTGACAGCTCCCGTCGCAATCAGCTGCGCCCACAACGTGTTCCGACACACAAAAAGGACGACGAGGCAAAGACAGGAAGCGGATGGTGCTCTGCTCGGGCAGGTTGTATGCTAACTTGCGTCATTGCGCTGTCAGCCGTGACCTTTTATGAGCACCCTTTTAAAGTGGGGTTAAAAGGCATAATTAAGTGGCCACTTAACACAGTACGACGAGCGTTTTGTGTTACGAGGGGAGCCGCAGCGAATTGAGTGATGCAGACCAGGAAGCTGTTTTGAGATTGTTGAACGACTCTGTAATTTGCAGATTTATTGCAAATTCTGGCACCCACACATTATAAATCATGTCTTGTTTCTTCAATGAGCAATTTGAGAACCTTTTCCAGTATTTTATCACGATGCTATCAACAAGGTGAAAAATCTGAGACGACATTAAAACACTTTTTTTTTTTTTTCCGGCAGTGGCACTATTCGGGAATTGGATGTCATGTTGAGCATTTCGCAAAAGCTTGATTTGATTTTATTGTGTGCAGAGAGCAAATTATCTGAATATGAATATCGATCCATCGATCCATTTTTGATATGGCGTTATCCTCATTTGGGTCGCGGGTGTGTTGGAGCCTCACCCAGCTGACTTTGCATACACCCTGGACAAGATCCAGCCAATCACAGTGAATGCGGTGAGGCAAGTCCGCAGTTCAACAACCTTGCACGTGTCCCCAAAAAAAAAAACCATCAAGTTCTCACTGCCTATAAGACATCAAGATTTGTGCACACACTCCAAGATGCAAACGAGAGAGAAGTCAAAGGGTGATGAATGCACAGAGGGTGGAAAAATTAAGTGGAAGGTTACGCAAGAGGTAAAGGATGGAAAAGCTGAGAGAGAGCGAAGGGCCCTTGGGTGATATCTGTGTCCGCTCTCCCATTAGGGCTTAGCTTGCCGAGGTTGTATGACACGCATGCTAGCTTTTACCATCTCACTCTTCCATCCTTTGTTTGCTCCTGCCACTTTAATTTGGTCTCCCGAGTCCTTCTTTTCTTCATTCACATTCATGCGGACAAAAAAAGTCCCACTATTTTCCTTTGTTCTATTCTCTTTTTCTACCCTACTGAAGAAGTCACCAAGTCTGTGGCGTTCCGGTCAATCTCTGCACGCACAAGTTTTGTGTGATTCATCTTCACTTGAGCATCCCTAGCATAGGGGAAATTGCTGTGTCAGTGTTCCGCTAGAATGGCATCCACCCAGTTCACAAAGTGCCATATGGCACATTTGCGCAGAATTGACATGCACGTTAAGTTCCAACGACACTTCTCAGCAAGATCCGACTAAATGTCATTCCATTTCGGGTAGATTTTACAAAGTGTCACCTCATCTTGCTTTGCAGGTGAAAGCTTGCTCCAACTTTTCGGTGCGCTTCATTTGCAAGCACACAAATGATGAAGTGAAGGCCAGCTTAGTCGCTGGATGCAGTATTTGAATATACAAAACATTTATACAGCTCTATCTACATCGCATCTCCGCATTGCAGCCCATATGTGGAAAGTTGAGTTTTCATATCCATTTTTTTTTTCTTTGTGCATTATTATAGCGTCGGGATGATTTGCTCAATGATAGCAAAAAAAAATAGCAATGTGTTCGTATCCATTCAATAAATGAGCTATTTTGTTTTGTTTGTGGACCGGCTCCAGTGTTGCAACCGCGGGGAGTGCGGACACATCAAGCCAACTGCGTTAATGTATGACATTGGTAACACGTGGTATGTCTCCATTTCTGTTTTTATTTGTAGCTGTCGAACAAGTAACAGGAAAAGCCTCATCTTGACCACCACCTCCCCCACTCTGCCTCGCCCACACTCCCCTCTGCCTCTCCCCGGACACCTCGGTAAGCACAGTAGCACTAACGCGCCACACTTGTGGCTACTTCAGGGATCATTGGGCATTGCTCACCGACAAAAGAGCTTGATGTGCGTACCGATTGTTGACTTTTCCTATTTGTGTCTTGTACTTCATCCTTGTTGTCCCTGCAGGGAGCAGTCCACTGGACAGCCCGAGAAACTTCTCTCCGAGCACCCCCGCGCACTTCTCCTTTGCCTCCTCCAGAAGGTCACTAGACATACTTGAATGTATCAAGTGTCATGCGTACTCGTTTTTGATGTGTGGAGGGACTGAGAGTGAGTGGAGAAGGATGGGAGGCAACAGCGATAACAAGTACGCACCCGATGAAAAATCCAGGAAGTGTTGTTGTGTGAGGTCTTTACACATGCTGGGAAGCCTAACGGGCTGACTCATGTGTGACTGGGCCAAGCCGTTACATTCAGCTGGCGTATTGTGCCCCCCAAGGGAAATAAGAAAAACATGGTCAAGAGACACCTGACAAGAAAAACAAAACAGAATCTCACAAAAAAAAAACAAACAAAAAAACTGCTCAGCAAATGAAGAATGGCGTCAAGTAGAGTCGTTCGAAATGGAGCTTGTCTCACACGTGAAATATGATTTGCATGGATGTGCAAAACGCCTACAAGTGTTTTTGCATTTGTGTTCTCAACAGGGCTGACGGACGACGTTGGTCTTTAGCATCTTTGCCCTCGTCTGGTTATGGCACCAACACTCCCAGCTCAACAGTAAGTAACTCGGATTGAAACGTAGTCCTCCTCCGTTCCAGTGAAGGAGGCACAATGAGGAAGTGAGTGCTTGGAAAGAGATCCATCCAGTCTCGAGCCGTTCAATTATCAATTACCTTCAAAGTCAGCGCGTTTTATTTATTTATTTTTTTTTGTCAACATGAATAAATTATTGACTGCAAAGTAAGGAAATTGTTGAAGACCTCTCATTGTTGGAATAAATGAAAACAATCCCTGGGTCAGCACCTTCCCCACTAAATGGAATTGCTTCTTCCTATTTAGTTGTGCTATCGCCGCCGTTCCACGCCTCGCTGTGTTGTATTGTGGAAGTTTGCGTCAAAGACTTCGGAGGCCGCTAGCCATCGGACCGCGATTGGAGGAACGTGGAGGAGGAGAGCGGGGAGTGGTTAGCTCCAGGCTGGCGGAACGAGTGGGACGTGATAAGGGTGGCACGGAGGGCACGAGCTAATTTGAGACGCGGCCCGCTTTGTTCCATGGGACATGAACAAGGGCAGAAAAGCATTCCCCGGCTACCTAATACGTACCCAAAGTAGGAAGATCCGATGCAGAATATTTTCCCTTCCACAAAGATGACAGTTTTCATTCACATCATGAAAGAGGTCTTCATTTCACCTTGTATTATTGTCGTTTTACAGCGGTGTAGAATTGTGCCGTAATATACGGAGAGACCATAAATTACGACATGAGACTATGAGTTACATGTGACAAAACCAGGAAATCGTTGGGTTGGCAAATGGAGAGGGGCCAAAGTCTCATTGTTCTGCTGCATGTATTCAAAGTCTTTTGTTTTGTTTGCTGCCACACATCCTCTCGGACTGTTTCTTTTCCCCCGATCAACCCAATTCTTGTTTCCCTTCCTCCTCAACATTCAACATTGGCCTCCCCTCCCTTTCCCCATCACCATGCGCTTCCTGTTCCCCCGCCGCCCTTGGCTCTCCGCTCCCCTTCCTCCCTCGTCGCACTATTCTCCAGTCGTCCAGCTCCTCTCATGAGCGGTTGCACCAGCTGCCGTTCCAGCCCACCATGGATGAGCTCCACTTCTTATCCAAGCACTTTGGCAGCACGGAGAGCATCACGGATGACGATGGCGGACGCTCCTCTCCGCATATGCGCCCGCGCTCCCGCAGTCTCAGGTCAGCAGCGCCATCATGATATAGCGGAAAGCAGACTTGCGCAGGACTGCCCTTACAAAGTTCAATAAATGTGCCGACAAGCCATTTGCGTGTTTCTGAACTGTGTTTTTTTTTTAATTATTTTTTTTTAAAGGCATGAAATTCCACTTGTTACTTCTTTGCTAACTCCTTGCAGCCCGGGACGCTCGTCTTCCTGCTACGATAACGAGATTGTCATGATGAACCACGTGTACAAGGAGCGCTTTCCAAAGGTGAGACTCCCTTGCCAAAGTGCATCACAGATGGCAAATGAACCTCTCCTCTATGATTAAGATTTCACTTGAATCCACAGTGGTATGCTAGTCAGCTCCAGATAACGGTTGCGTTTATCTGCCAAAAGATGTCACGTTTGCTCAAGTGCAACCACTGCCCCCCCATGAAGTAGCCTCTTGTGCAATTGTAGTTCACATTTTGGGAAAAATTGATTCAAATTGACATTGTCCGGAGTAAACGACTCGAATGGAAATCGACCTTCCTACCCTTGAGTCTGAGTTGATTTTGTGTTTGGCTACTGAATAAGCCCAGCTGGGCCTGACGCCATGACCGCGATCAACCTCTGGCCTTTCGTTCCACCAGGCTACTGCACAGATGGAAGGGAGGCTTGCAGAGTTCATCCACGCTTACGCTCCCGAAAATGTTCTCCCGCTAGCCGACGGAGTTCTCAGCTTCATCCACCACCAGATCGCTGAGCTCTCAAGGGACTGCCTGACGAAATCCTGCGAGGGACTCATCACATCCGTCTACTTTTTCGAGCTGCAGGAAAACCTGGAGAAGCTACTCCATGATGTAGGTGGAAGTCAACAAGAAAATAGGAGGAGTCTGACTCATCCAATTACCAACTCGCGTCATCATTTGGACCAGAAATGCAAGCAGCCGGTCGAGCGAAATGCATCATGATGTGTCCTCTCTTTGAGAGATGCTAGCCTGGTACCCTTCAGCAAGACACTAAAATCTTTAAACTGCAAACGGGGGCGACACCATTCTGCATCCCCGTAACCCCCATTTTCCCTTGCCTGTGCGTTTCTGTGCAATGGATCTGCGTGCAATGCGTGCAACAAAAATGTCATGAATAATTTCCTCTCTGGAGAGCAACAGTGCTACAATCAATTAATTAAAAAAAACAAACATTTTCATTCATTTGCAGTCTGAGATGTAAACATTAAGAGGGCGCAATCAATGATAAATGGAGGCCGATGTACTTTGTTGTTTTACCTTCGGTTCCATTTGGAACGCTCGATCCGATCACTCAAGGGAAGTGTACTGATTCTATCTGTCTCCATCTTTCAATCCGTCGCTTTTTAATCTGTGTTCAAATGGCAGGCCTTTGAACGTTCAGAGAGCTCAGAGGTGGCCTTTGTCACGGAGTTGGTGAAAAAGCTTCTCATCATCATATCCCGACCAGCTCGGCTCTTGGAGTGTCTGGTAAGAAGACTCCCACTCGTACGTTTCTACAAACCCTGATTCCAATGAGGTTGGGACGTTGCATGAACTGAAAAGTTAAATGCAACTTAAGGCAGTACGAATCCTAAATGTCCATGAATGAAACTTGTCTGTACTGTCATCATTCTTTTGTAAGATACAACCCTGCAAAGATTAAACGTGGTTTTAAGTATAACTGAGGTGTCTTCCAGCCATCAGTCCAACCAAGTGATTTTATTGTGCTGTCGTCATTCGTGGTGTTACATGGCACTGCCCAGGAATTCAACCCGGAGGAGTTTTACCATCTGCTGGAGGCTGCGGAAGATGTCGCCAAGGAAGGTCACCTGGTGAAAACCGACATCCCTCGTTACATTGTCAGCCAGCTGGGACTCACCAGAGACCCGATTGAAGGTGAGGGGGCAAGGCGGGAACTCACTTAAGGCAAAAGTATTGGGTCGCCTAAAAATGTCATCCCTTCACATCAACTTCAATATATTCCCTTTCATTTCTGATGAAGTCCCCTTCTCCCCAAAGAACATTTTTGAGGTCACTGATGTTGGATGATTGGGCCTGGCTCACAGCATCTGGTATAGTTCCTCCCATAGATCTCTGGTGGGTTGATGTGAATCTTTGCACACCATCAGGCTGCAAGTAAAAATAGCTGAAATAATAATAAAATAATAATAATAATGACTAAGACCATATTTTAGCTGATCAAGGAATAACTAGGTGAGACCTTTTGGTACTCTTTTAGAACAATGCATTCTTTCACAAAATGTTTCGAAAGCTGTTGGCTTTTCGTGACCCAATATTTTTGTCCATCTGTGTGCAAGGCAATATCTTGTCTGATTTGATGTTTTTTTTTTTTTTTTTTTTTTTCAGAGATGGTAAACCTTGATAGTTATGACAGCGAAGGACCTCTAACACCTGAAACCGATGACTCGGCAGAGGTGAGCTTTATCGATTGACTCCACTTGTGTCGAGTCTACTGACAACGTTTAATTCGATGCACTTTTTTTTCTATTTCTTACGTGAAGCATAACCTTTACAGTCAACAGCTATAACATCAACCATTCCCTCGTACGCAGCAAACTTAGTCTCCAGTGTTTTGTCCCAACCTTGGTTTCACGCTTCCCATTCGGATGAAAAGCGACTTTGCTTTTATTTCATTCCCAAGCAACTTCATGATGAAGGATGATCATGTGTATTTGAATAGCTACGTTGCTAGGCAATTATTGACTCTGTAATCTGTTATCCAAAGGGGAAGATTAAAGCAATGAAACCACCAGGTGAAGCAGACTTCCAGACCATCAAGCTCATTAGCCACGGAGCATATGGGTAAGTAGAGCGGCTGCTTCACTCATGATGACGACGACGAGGATGATGAACTGCAGAAGACTAGTAATGGCTAAGAATTGAAAATAATCCCACATATGAATGCTCGTTTTTGTCTTTGTTTCGGTCAGTGCCGTGTATCTGGTCCGACACCTGGAGACGCGTCAGCGTTTTGCCATGAAGAAAATTAACAAGCAAAACCTGATCCTGAGGAATCAGATCCAACAGGCTTTTGTCGAGAGAGACATCCTCACATTTGCCGAGAACCCTTTTGTGGTCTCCATGTTCTGTTCCTTTGAGACCCGTCGGCACCTGTGCATGGTCATGGAGTATGTCGAAGGTGAGAAAATGTGGTTACATGCGCATTTTGGGGAGGGGATATACTGTCCGGTCATTGTTTGTCATTTTCATTACTCATATTGGTGACCGACTGAACAAATTTTGAATTCCACTGCCAGGAGGAGACTGTGCCACTCTGCTGAAGAACATTGGAGCTCTGCCAGTGGAAATGGCTCGGATGTACTTTGCTGAAACTGTCCTTGCGCTCGAATACTTACACAACTATGGCATTGTCCACCGTGACCTCAAGCCGGACAAGTAAGACACTTTCCTAAATTTCAAGCAAGAGTGTCAAGTAACTATTAAAATCACATATTTGAAAATAAGGGTTTACAATCATCACAATTCACTGTATCGATCTACTGCTCAGCCTTCTCATAACGTCAATGGGCCACATCAAGCTTACGGACTTTGGCCTGTCTAAAATGGGTCTGATGAGTCTGACGACCAACCTGTATGAAGGACACATCGAAAAGGACACTCGTGAGTTCTTGGATAAGCAGGTGGGAGAGCACACACCAATCAGAGCTGTTCCGCAGATACAGACCTAAAATGTATGCATGTATTCTCTCTGCTGTTGTCAAGTATGCAAAGACAACAAAGACACTGCAGATTTATTTTGTAGTCATTATTTCATGACGCTCCTGCAGTGACAGGTTCAATCCCGCTAAAGCTGTCAAACTTGGCTTTGACCGTAGGTGTGTGGAACCCCGGAGTATATTGCACCCGAGGTCATTCTTCGTCAAGGTTACGGAAAGCCAGTGGACTGGTGGGCTATGGGTGTCATCTTGTACGAGTTCTTGGTCGGGTGCGTGCCTTTTTTTGGAGACACTCCGGAGGAGCTATTTGGGCAGGTTATAACAGGTGAGTCCGTCAAAGCAGCATTTTAAATGTATGCATGCACAGTTGCACACCCTTGGATATTTTGCTTATTCCCGCCGTCTGACCTCTTTTGCAATTTTGGGTAACTTGTGGTGGTCCCCCCCCCCCCCGTAGATGACATTGTCTGGCCTGAAGGAGATGAGGCGCTCCCTCTTGACGCCCAACATCTCATCGCCTCTCTTTTACAGACGAATCCACTTGTGCGACTCGGAACAGGTCAGTAAGTTAGTGTTCCATTCTTGCACAGGTTTAAACTGCGTTCAAAAAAAAAAAAAAAGTTGTTCAACTATATGTACATATTTTTTAAACTGTTTGGTTTGTTGCTGGTCGACTGGTTAGCATGTCCACTTATCAGTGCAGAGGTGCATGGTTCAATTCCGGCTTCGGCCTTCCTGTCTGGAGTTTGCCGTGTTCTCCCCGTGCCTGTGTGGGTTTTCTCCGGGTACTCCGGTTTGCTCCCACATCCCAGAAACATGCATATGTGCTTTTCTGCCCCCTGCCCCAATCTTTGCCCGGTAGGGGGTGCTTTTGAAGTGAAGCAGCACGCCTTCTTCACAGAGGTGAACTGGAACAGCTTGCTGAGACAAAAGGCCGAGTTCATCCCTCACCTGGAGTCGGAGGAGGACACCAGTTATTTTGACAGTAAGTCTCCTGCTGCGACTTCAGGGCCTGACGCAAAACTGCTATCGGCCGATGAGAAATATCGTTGTGGTATCTCCCCGCATTAGCACGGTCTGAGCGCTACCATCATGTGCATTCCTATGATGAGGATGATACCAATGATGATGAGCCTGTGGAGTTACATCGCTTTTCTTCGTGCTCACCCCGCTTTAGTAAGGTCAGACCTGCTTAGAAGCCTTCTCTTACGGTGACTGATGATATGCAACCAGTGTTGAGCTCTGCACGTACAGGAATTAACTTTATCATGTGGTTTGTAAATGTAGGTGTACAGCAGTATGGAGCATTTGTCCCAGCTGGAGCATAAAGCCCCAAGTGTAACTTTACGGGAGCACAAAGTTCCAAGAGAAGATCGAATGGCCAAGAGAGAAAGCCTGGGTAGTTTTGCACTGCGGGACAAGAACTGGAGGACTGGATCACCTGAGATGTGAGTTCCGAATTCTACAAAGAGGGACGAAAAAGAAGAGAAGAATAATAGCTCGATCTTTCCTCGTGATGTATTTGAGAAGAATTGCTTGCCGGTTTCAAAGCTACAATTGTTTATGACTTAGGACTAAGTATACTGACTAAAAGCTTTGAATAAACTTTTTTTTTTTCCTTACAGGAAGCGTTTGTCCTGCTCAGAGTCATCCTTCACTGAGAGTGACTACAGTCCTCCATCTGGGGCCCGAAGGCGCTTCTCTGCGCTCATGGACACGCACCGCTTGGCTTCACCTCTTGAGGTCGATTCTGAACAGTCTCTTTCTCGGGGCCAGCTTCCAGTGAAGACCAGGGGTACCTCTTTGGAAGGAGCCATGGGTGCCATCTCCTCGCAAGGGGATCTGAGGACATTCCTCAAGGAAAGCAATGGATTCGCACCCGCAGGTCAGAAAAGCCCATCTCAGTTAAAGTATGGCCCGAAATGTTTCTTTGACACTCTCACGTTTTGTTTACCAGCCGGCGCTGCCGTTCTGGGGCTTCCAGAGCCCCAAGGGCCTCGAGGGGCCACCACGGACTTGGTGCTGCGGAGAGTTCGGCACCAGCAGCTATCAGCTGAGGGAGAGAAACGCAACTCTCGACCAGGACATAAAGTGATCAAATCTGCTTCTGCCACAGCTTTGTCTGTTATCATTCCCGCAGGTAAGACATCGTTATACACCAAAGCCTTTTTGAAATCACCAATTATGATATATTGCGTCTTACTCAATTCTCCTCCCATCAGTGGAGCAACACGGTGCCTCCCCCCTAGCGAGCCCAATGTCTCCTCGCTCCCTCTCGTCCAACCCCTCCTCTCGAGACTCCTCACCCAGTCGAGATTACTGCCCCGTCGTAAATGTCCTGCATTCCCCAATCACCATCCACCGCTCTGGGAAGAAGTATGGCTTCACTCTCCGAGCAATACGAGTCTACATCGGAGACAGTGACGTCTACAGCGTACACCATATGGTCTGGGTGAGTAAGCGTGACGTGTGCCGCCAGTTCCCAATGGGACCAGCCCAGGGTGTAGACAGCCATTATGCATATACTTTAAAGGGGAAGTCAACCAAAAACATTTTTTTTACAATAATATGTTCGATGCGCCCCCACTAGTCTAAACGGGGCATTCAGATTAATATTGCGTTTGCGAAATATGAATGAAGCAGCAGTTGCAAGCCAACTGCAGACGAGTCATCTTTGCAGGCAAAACTGAAAAGATTCCTTTATTAAGTCAATATTCTCTTCATATCAGCATGTGGAGGACGGAGGCCCCGCCCAAGAGGCCGGACTTAGTGCCGGTGATCTCATCACTCATGTAAATGGGGAGTCAGTTCACGGTCTGGTCCATACGGAGGTGGTGGAGCTCATCCTGAAGGTGAGATGGAGTCATCTATCTGCACGACTCCATACTTGCTTGTATATTAACGTGAGCGATCTTGAATCTTCAGAGTGGAAACAAGGTGACCGTTACGACGACTCCCTTTGAGAACACCTCCATAAAAGTGGGACCCGCACGCAAGACCAGCTATAAATGCAAAATGGCACGACGCAGCAAGAGACCAGGAGCCAAAGAGGGTCAAGAGTGAGTTCAGGAACCATGCACATCATAAGCATGAAATGATTGACACTTTTTAGCTTGTCTGCAGTCACATGACTGCTGTTTTCCATTTGGTGATGTGACAGTAAGAAGCGCAGCTCCCTGTTCCGAAAAATCACCAAGCAGTCCAATTTGCTGCACACCAGTCGAAGCCTCTCCTCTTTGAATCGCTCTCTCTCATCTGGAGACAGTCTACCCGCATCTCCCACCCACAGCTTCTGTGCCCGCTCACCCACTCAGAGTTATCGATCCACCACTCTGGAATCTCCATACATGGGTTAGTGAGGCTAATCATGAGCGCTAGTTTCCATTGCTAATCCTTCTGTTTGGATGCAAGCAATTACTGGGTAACAAGGATATTTAAGAGAGTCGTAATGGTAAATACTGGTACTGTATGCTGATCATATCATCTTCACGCTTGTCCTCTAGTCACGAAAAAAAAAAAAGGCTCTTGTCTGGAAAAGCCTTTGAAATACCGATTGTCTCCAGTGATCCCGAAGATCTGCCTCTCTCTCTCCTTAGGCACTTCCTCGCAGAGCAGCTCCCCAGCATCAAGCACCCCAAACTCCCCAGCCACGTCACACCACATGAGGCCCAGCTCTCTACATGGCTTGTCGCCCAAACTTCACCGCCAGTACCGCTCCGCTCGCTGCAAATCTGCCGGCAACATTCCCTTATCCCCTTTAGCCCACACCCCCTCCCCCACCACGTCTTCTCCTCCGCCCCTGAGCGGCCACACGGTAGGCAGCTCCAACACAACGCAGATGTTCCCCGTCAAGCTTCACTCCTCGCCGCCCGTCGCCCGTCCTCGTCCCAAGAGTGCCGAGCCACCCAGATCCCCGCTTCTGCAGCGAGTGCAATCGGCAGAGAAGCTTGGGGCGCCCGTTCCGCCTTCCTCCTCCTCATCGTCATCGTCGCCTTCTCCTCTGATGGGAGGCGTGTGCCTACGCAAGCACAGTCTGGAGGTGACACACGGGGACTACAGAAGAGAATCCTTCCACTGTGAACACAGCCTACAGAGTCTGCTTGAAATGGAAGGAGAGAATGGACCTGCTCCGCCTTCTCCCTCATCCTCTTCATCCCCTTCTCCACCTCTCGGAGGGGAAAGCAGTAGTTTGAAGCCTGTTAGAAGGCTGGGCAGGCAGGAATCGCCACTCAGCCGTGACACAATGGTAACGGTAACAGAGAAAGATACTCAAATCACGGCCTGTGATCTTATAGGGTCCAATACTGAGCCCAAAACAACAAAAAATGAATCCACCGTTGACCCAAACACAACATTATCCATCTCTGGGGCTCAACAGGGTTCAGCTGTAATCGAGACCATCTCTTCCAAAGTGGTAGCAGCAGCGGCCCGGTCCCCCATCGAGACCAAGCCGAAACAGGGGCTCAAACCTCAAAACGCAAACGCTGTGACTTCTGAGGGTACCGTCTCTCAGAGCAGACCTTGTGAGAAAGTCTCCACTCCAGGGTCAACTAAGTGCCTCCAACCGCAAGAGAGAAAGCCGAAAGATTCTCACGCAGAAACAGTCTCTTCCAGTAAAACTTTAGGGAACGCCGAAGACAAAACCAAATACGTCGCGGGGGCAGACAAAGGTTGCTGTCGCAAAGGATCAACGACAGAGTCATCCAAACCTCGTAAGACCACGGAGTCCGTTGAAAAAGAAGGCGGTCGTGGTGATAAAAAAACGGAGATGACCAGGATTAAAGGTCCTGCGCCTCCACTTCCGGCCCCGGCGCAGGTCCACGGGGCAACAAATGTACCAGTAGCCGTCAGCGCCAAAGTGGAAAGAGCATCAAAGAGCTATCGGGGAGCGAAGGAGGATAAGGCGCACCTGGAGGTGTTGGAAGAAAACGCCATCTCCCCTTCTTCTAATGCATCCTCATCTTGTTCCGGCAAGCCGCGCACCATGTCTCCCGGCGATCGAGGCAGCTTTGTCACGCAACTCACAAGCGTCGCCAAAACGGTACTTGGGCCTATGAAAGGGGGGTTACAAGACTGTTCCAAGGTCAAAGACGCCTATAAGTCAAGCGAGGAAAAGCGAGGCAGTTCAGCGGGAAAAGCGGAGGCTTCGAATGCGGCCGGACGCCGTGGCGCTCAAACAACACCCGCTGGTGGTGCTCTCCAGATGGATAAAGGAAACAATCGTGGCTCAAAGCATCATTCGTGATCAAGAAGCAGAAGAAGCCAAGCCTCCAATGCATTGCCTTTTACTGTAGAAGCATCCAAACATATCATCTAAATTAACACCTTTTTAATCAAACATAATTGCCTGAAGAGAAGTAAACTGCAATTGAGACATTGAGCATAATGAGAGAAAAAAAAAGTTGCATCATTTACTGTTAGAAAATGTGTGCGCACTGTTGTGTATTATAGGCCTGTGGATGTCTTTGTCACAATGTGCTGTAGATATATTTAAAAAAAAACGTTGCATGTTGGACATGGAAACATGAGAAATTCAAAAAGCAGATGGAAATTAAAACAAACAAACAAAAAAAACCATACTGAAGACCATGAGGTAGTTAACACTGTGAACAACTTTACATCCACCTGAACGTGCAAATCACATTCCATTTCAATTTGTTTGGATTAGTTGACTTAGCAGAATGTTTAAAATACAATCACTTATCATAAAAATAACAGAAAAAAAATAAGACTAGCCGACTAGAGCCTGGACCAAACTACCAAACTACTGTTCTTGCTTTCAAAGAAGCTGGCTGGTGGTCTGATCGGTTAAAGGGCTGAAATTCCAGTGGGATAAAGTATCAGATGAGGTTGCATAGGGACACTATGCAATGTGCTAATAATGCCACTTCAGGTGTCCAGAATTACCGGTACTAAGTTTACATTGTGTCGTCGATGAGTCCAGGTGATAAAAGAAGTCGTTGCAATAAGCCAAGCCAACTTGATTTCACTTTCAAAGTTGTCCCTTTTGATGTGTGCAATCGCTATTGTGTGTGAATTCATTGTATGTTAATGGTGTTATTTAGGACTAAATGGTCATAAACTACCACTTACATGTTGATTGAATACGCATACGTTTTTTTCTACATATGCTGATGTACATTTATATTTCATAATTTATTGTGGAAGAATGTTGTGGTGTTTGCATTTCTTTTGTTTACAGTTAAACAAAAATACTGGTGTCCTCTAGATTTACAGTAGGCTACGTGATAAATAATGCATGTCATATGTTCTGGACAGTTTTCATCTGAATCCAACACAAAACTGTGTGTTTTAGTGAGTGCTGTAATTAAAAGATTTTCCTATGCAAGCGGTAAGGATAAATACTCACCCTGAATGTCCGACAAGCGTTTCGTCCTGAGCAGTCCTGCAATTTCAAGAAGGAAAGTCTTGTACGACGCATGCATTGCCACAATGCCAAGTGTAAACCAAACCTTATTGTGTCTGATCACAAAAAGAAATTGTGTTGGGATTGTAAAAAAGACAACGCGCACGTTTATTTTTCATTATTTAGCACAGTCTGGCACAGATGTAATTTGCCGCATAGGTTTGTTGGGATTTTACGTTAATTTCTAACCTGTACAGGTTGACTCTTATTTAGAAATGCTGTCTGAATGGTTAATTTCTTGAACATACACGACATTTTGGGGTTGTGACCGGCGAGTTACTGTTGCTCATTTATGGTCTATATGTGTTTGTCATATAAATATTTAATTCAATTATGACAGGTTAGCCTTGCGATTAAATTCGTCGCGTTCCGAATTCGGTTTAGGTACGGAAGGGCCCCCTTTCAAAATAAAGTCCACGATCGCAGTGTTTGTTTCTCCACCCTGGTCTCTTGAAATCAAAACGTCACCATTAAAACCCCTCTTGTGCAATGTCAACATTACAGTTCATCGTGTCAAGATAGGACTTGAGTGTGTTAATTTTTAAAGAGATGTACTTTCTCCTCCCGGTAAATTTTCAATCTGTTCTTGTGTCATGTAAAATATATTTACTTTATGCTGCCATCTTGTGGATAACTTGACACAAAGGCTGACAATTCTGATATCAGTGAAGATGTTTATTTAAAATGTTATTTTTAAATTTCATACAGGATTATGACTTTTTATTTCATGCACTGTGCTGTGTGGGAGTTCAAAGTGGAAATCACTTGTTGTCGCGTTCAACAAATGTGTTGTGTGTCACGAGTTGCACTTTATTTTTGTCGAATTTTGTCAAGTGTTAACAAACCGTTTTTATATCATTGTTCATGAATTCAAATGTATTCATACATCTAAATATATCTGTTTACGTTTCAAAAGTAATTCTTGGTTACATAGGAGAAGTGGAGTTGTTGTAGCCAACCACATAAGAGGAACTTAATTGTATTCAAAATATTAAAAAAAAAATTTAGACACACTTGCTTGCTTTGCTGGCAACATGTTGGAAATTGATACAAGTTGAAACGCCTGGAATAAAAAAAAAAAAAAAATTTAGACACAATTGCTTGCTTTGCTGGCAACATGTTGGAAATTGACACAAGTTGAAACGCCTGGTTAACATCAAATTAAAATAGGCATCATTTTGCATTTAGAGTTTCGTAATTGTACAGTATACGTGTGCGTTGTCTTGTTTCGTGGTATGTCCATTATACGGCCCCACACTCGATCCATCCTATGGGCTCTCTTTTTTATGTATGACCAAGATGATGTGTATTTTAAGTTTCTGTGTTGAAAAAAAAAACTAATAAAAATAAAAGAAATGACAATTCGTTTGCTTTCTTTAAGAGAAGCCAACTTGGTCTGCCGTAAACAGACGAGGATGAAGTGACGACGTAAGAAGGGAGACCATTGGCTCAGTATCAGCCAATCAAATTGCAGTTAGTCCGCTCGCAGCATAAACAAGGAAGTAGGAGAAGCTGATGGCTCAATTTGCTGTATAGTATACTATCAAAGATACTGTTTCTCAGACCTTCATTGATTGTTTTGGCTCGTTAAGGTTTCCAGAAAGATAATGTATGAAAGAAGGTAAAAACAACAATGTAATTTACTAGCGATACAGTGCATTTTATTCGCGAATTTGCGTTACTAACCTGAAGGGAATGTTCGCCGGTATTTAAAAAACATGTTTGAAAACATATAATAAGTTGATATTTTGTAGCTAATCGTACTTGACGCGTGTAGGTCAGGTATTTTTAGGGAACATTTTTTTCCACATAAAATTTTTTAAAACCGAATAATTAGAACAAAATTAAAACGTGATAAACATACAGAGATTCGTGTTTATCTTTTATTTGAGGATGAATATGTTAATAGTTGATTTACAGCGACAATATAATGGATTTTTTTTCTTCTGACGTTGACTTTTACTTTTTGTACCTAACATAAAGTGCGCCCCGTCATATCCTTGGTGCGGTCTGTTGCAGAAGAATAACAGACCACCAGCCGCTCTTTTGCTGGCAGTAAATATCTGAAATTCCTCGAGTCACAGGGTGCAGTCACACGGTTTTCCTCTGCTAACTACCAAAGCTAGTTATCAAATTTGATGCGTAAATACACGTCTTCAATTTAGGCGAAATAACTTCTTCAATGGTCAATGAGAATTGTGCTTTGTTGTGTTTGTTCTTCATCTGCGTGTAGCTGCTCTGGATGTAAGGAGTGCTCCCTCATGGCCAGTGTTGTTCACATCTGAAGGTTATGAACCCTAGTGCCTTCTCAGCTTACTCAGAGAGCCAGTCTCCTGCAGATGAATATATGGACGACTGGCTCTTCCTCCCTTCTTCCTCGGCTGTTTCTCCCCCCCATGAAGGAGCGTGCAGAGAAGACACAGAGGAAAGAGGCAAACTCAAATCTAAGTTGGTCTCAGCATGGAATAGTGTCAAATATGGTTTGTTATATCTACCAGACTAAATCACCGCTACAAATATGTTTGTTTCTTCGTGATTTGGTCTCTTGAAGTCTTGTTTCTCATTTATTAGGCTGGTCCTTCAAGCAGAAATCCAATTTGAACAAGAGCTCTCCTGTGATGATGTTTGGAAAGTCATATCAACTCAGCGATCAAGGTGAGGTTTCGTCTGCCAATTCGAGCAGATAATTTAAGCATGATGCCTCATGGTTTTATAAGATAAGATACAAGTTAATGTCTTATTACCACAACGTCAGGAGAGAAGGAGTGTTTCCACCGCTCCTTTGCAGCTCTCCTGTGGTTGACATACAGACGAGGTTTCCCTCAACTGAAAGGCTGCTCCCTGACCACGGACAGTGGCTGGGGGTGTCTTCTCCGCACAGGGCAGATGTTGTTAGCACGAGGCCTGCTTTTACACCTGATGCCACAAGGTGACACACCGGCACAAGATTAGTCTTATGAAGCTTACATTGAAGAGTTTGCATGCTAATGGCTTGCAAGGACTTGACAACATTAAAAAAAAAAAAAAAAGTCAAATTGTGTAGAATTATTAGCAATCTAACAATTCTCAGCATGGCAATATATTTAAAATGTATTTTAATACACAATGCTGAATGTAAAGGATATTATATTTATATGAGGCTTCCGGGAGATACTAATTTGTGAAATACAGTTTGGGTTTCAAATATTGCTTTTGCCGCAACCTTTTCTGACATGCCTCATGCACTTCTATACAAGTCCCATGACCACCGTTTATCTTTTCCAGGCTTGACATGTTCTGTGAGCCATCATATGTTCAAAGATGATATGGATCTCCCAGAGATACGCCCCGACGCCAGAGCCGTGTGTATGCAGAACTCCAGAGGGCTCAGAAAGAGTGCACGAAAGCTGAGTTTGGGTTCCCTCCTGGACAGATGCATGGAATCCACACACAGGAAGGTTGTCTCGTGGTTTGCAGATCACCCCTTAGCTCCTTTTGGGATACATCAGCTGGTAGAGTTCGGCAAAGGTTTAGGGAAGAAAGCAGGGGACTGGTATGGCCCTTCAATTGTGGCACATATTCTGCGGTCAGTAATTAGTCAATTTGTAGATCCTATCCCGAGCTACCTTACAGTACATGGTGTCATCACTCCAAAAAAAAATCCCTTATTTTTTGTTTTAGGAAAGCTGCAGAAGCATCAGCTGACCTTCCCAATCTTGCCATCTATGTTGCACAAGATTGCACCAGTTAGTACTTTATTCTCTTCTGGAAATTTGTTGATACTGTTACCCACTTAGGCATTTAAATTAGAACTTTAACAGAAATAGTACATTTTTGCACAGCGTTGGGAGATTTTATTATTATTATTATTATTTTTTTTTTTGGTAACGCTCTTGTTTTAATCAGTCTATAAAGATGATGTCAAAGAGTTGTGCGGACGGCGTCTTTCCGGGATCTCTGCTGCATCTCTTCAGCCTTGGAGGGCCGTCATCCTCTTAGTGCCTGTGCGGCTTGGAGGACAGGAACTCAATTCTGCCTATATCACGAGCGTCAAGGTAGTCTGATATACGGTGGCTGTCCACTGTTTGATTGTTCTAACCGGTAAAAATACGGTCAGTGTAAATACACTGGATTGTTCTCCAATGCGGCAAAACTATAAGTAGTAGTAGTGAGATGGTAACATTGCTGAATGGTGTCGAGATTAGCAAACAACAAAAGAATTTGCCACTGTTTTTCTCAACAGAAAATCCTGACCTTAGAATACTGCATTGGTATCATCGGGGGCAAACCAAAGCGCTCTCTCTACTTTGTTGGTTTCCAAGGTACAGTCGGTCCGGTTCCACGCGTTATCTTGGGTTAGCCGTATGAACGTGCTTTCTTGATGACTTTCTGCTTTGTTGAAGATGACCATCTGTTGTACTTGGACCCTCATTACTGTCAACCCACGGTGGATATAACAAAGGGCAACTTTCCTCTAGAGGTATTCAGAAATACTGCTACTCTTCGTTTTTCTGCCTTTCTTAGCTCACCACCATTAGATTTGCTTTTTGGCAATGCGTGGATGATCATACACAAGATTGACACTCAGTTGAGTACAAGCCTCCACCAAGGCCAAACGATTAATGAAATTGAAAAAGTGCCGCTTATCCTCATGAGGGTCGCGGGCTTGCTGGAGCCTATCCCAGCTGTCTTCGGGCAGTAGGCGGGGGAGACCCTGAACCGGTCGCCAGCCAATCGCAGGGCACAGATAGACAAACACCCATTCACGCTCACATTCGGACCTAGGGAGGATTTCAAGCGTTCTGTTAACCTGCCATGCATGTTTTTGGAATGCGGGAGAAAAATGGAATACCCAGAGAAAACCCACGCAGGCACGAGGAGACCACTCAAAATCCACACGGGAAGGCCGGACCCTGCCCTCCTGCACTGTGAGGCGGACGTGCTAACCAGTCCTCAACAATGTCATACTATCTCAAAGTGACCCATGTGAAAACACACACACACACACACGCACACACACACACACACACACACACACACACACACACACACACACACACACACACACACACACACACACACACACACACACACCAAAGCTAGCGTTGGCCTGAGACTTTTTTTGCACAGTACTGCAGTAAGGGGGAAAAAAAATCAAATGTTCTTTGTTTTCGTCTCCTCATGTTCCAGTCATTTCACTGTAAATATCCACGGAAAATGCCTTTCTCTCGCATGGATCCCAGCTGCACCATTGGATTCTATGCAAAAGGCCAAAAGGACTTTGAAATGCTGTGCAAAGTTGTCGATGAGGTCGGTGGAAATGTGGATAATGTACATCCAACTACATTCATTGCCTGCATTTTGTTTAGCACTCATCTTGTACCTTTGTGACTGCTGTCTCCCACAAACCCCAGGCTGTCTCCACATCTGCGGAGATGTACCCCATGTTTGCATTTGCCGAAGGTCATCATCGAGTGGAGGAGGAGGAACACAAGAGCCCAGCCACTAACATCACTTATATCCAGAGGAAGACCGAGCTGAGGAGGGTCGACACGAATGACAGCATGGATGAGTTTGTTCTATTGTGAGCGAACATCAGAAAGGGGTTGGGGGGGGGGAGAATATGCTGAAGTAAAACCCCAAGCTGAGAGCATCACGGTGGGTTTGTGGTTAACACATCTGCCTTCCAGTTCTCTGAGGTTTGGGTTCAAATCTCCGTCCGCCCTGTGTGGAGTTCGTACTTTGACTTCCTCATCTATTCCAAAAATATCTTAGGTTAATTGAAGACTCTGAAATATCGTAGAGAACATCGCATTAAGAAAAATTTTGACTGGACTTCCCCTTTAAACTGAGTGGTCATTAGACCTATTGACACTACACATTATTTTACCGTTAGAAATCAATATGGCCCCCGAGCTAAAAAGTTTGTCTAATGATTAGACCTATTGACACTACACATTATTTTACCATTATATTTATTGTTTCACATTGTGAAACTTAATGTTGCTCTCAGGGCAATGTTTTATTTTCCTAATACTGTATTCAACAACAATAAATGAGTACTGTACTAGCAATAATGAACAACAGCTGGTCGGAAGCGTTACTGCGACAAATATAGCTTTTCGCTGTTGGACAAGCATGTGACTTGTTTTCTTGAATGAAAGAGGAAAAAAGTCTTCTGAACATGTGACATGAGAAAAAAAAAAGACAATATTGTCAAGGATGTAGCTGATTACGTGTCTTAGACTGTGGCGACTGACCTCAGGAAAAACAAATACAAGCTCTGTGATCTATGCATATTTGGATTACATTTTTATCTGTATACATTTTTATTCTACTCTGTGGTGCACTGTACTGTACAGTTTTACACAAGGAGGATTAGAAATAAATTTGCTGAAAATAGTCGTTTCATTGCTTTTTTTCCCCCTGTAAAGAAACTAAAAGTTATTCCGAGCGTGCGTTGCTGCCATCACGGGGCCCAAAGGGAGTGAGAGGCGCTGGAAGAGGGCGCTGTTGAGCCGTACAGGCAGTTCCTTTTGACTCAGCGAGGAGGGGGGTGAGGGAAAAAAACCGTCTGGGTAGGTCGCTCTTTGTTTTCTGGCAGGGAGGAAAACCAAGAGACTTTGTGACCGGCAAGATTTTTCAAAAACACCGCTGTTCACCGTTCACGTAAGTTCGATTCGACGTGGTTGTTAGATTGAAGGAGTGACGGTAGTGAACGACAAGAACGTTCCTGGATGGATTTGTGTTTGTAGCACGGGTTATGTTTGAGAAAAGACAGACACCGCAGTTAAACCGGCGGTGGCGCGACTGCGAGCGATGAATGAAAATTATATTTGGAAATGTGTTGTGAGCGGAGCAGAGACGAGGGTACGGGAGGCGCTTTGGATCAATCATCGAAAGCGGCGAGGGATGCGGCAAACTTTGGCTCGCCGCTGCTTTTAAACCAACAGCTCGTCCTCTATTTTTCTGTCTAATTGGCCTGAAAAAGCATGGCCGGCTAGGCTAACTCGGCTAACCCGCTAGCTTGTTAGCTCCCGTCATCAAATAACTTGAGTTGTTTTCTCAATGTTTTGTTTTGTGTTTACCGCGCATAGTAATGTCTGGGAAGGAATCAACGAAAGCGCCGTTGAATGAGACGTTAATTGTTGTATTGTTAGAACGCTTCATAATAAAAAGAGTGTTGTAGACGAACAATTCTGTGAACCGACACAAAGTAACGTTGACAATGAAACAAGTTAGGCCCTGCTGACGTTAGCATAGCCAAATATTATGACTATAATGTTGAGATGAATATCTACCGTAACGTTAATAAGTGTTTAAGGATAGACACGGAACTACTAAGTCGTTAAAAGAATGAATTTATCTGTTTCAGGTCTAACTTCTTAACTGTCGCTCAGTTGCGCCGAAGCCGAACTGACACTTGTTCAAAGAGGGTTTTGACCTCCTATGTAAGATACGTATCAAATAATAACCCCGTTTTCTTAGGTTGCCAGAATGTCTTATTACTTTGGAGTATGAGCTGTACGTGTTATGTTTTAGAATATTTATTTTTGATGGGCCAATTGCCTCCTGGCGTACAAGTATAGACGTCTGTGAACAGTGCATTGCATCTGACTTTTTGGGATACTTTTTGACATAGAAAATGTTCAGTCCTGTGAAATGTTTCTTTACATTTCAATCTTGTTTGTTTCGATTAATGGTTATGTAAAGACTTGTTTTTTTTTAAATCAATCAATAAAAACATTTACTTCTATTTTTCATGCAGGGTTCCAGTAGATCCCGAAAATGGATGGATATTAAAAGGAATTGTATTTATGAATTTAAGAACAACACCTTTAATTGGAATTAAAACGTCATAAATGAAGCTTTCAGGAGTCTTAAATGTTCACACATGTGAAGTCGAATGCTTTCATGTATACATTTATTTCAGGCAGTAGCATTTTAGGAGGAGCCATTATCTTATTTTAGTGTTTCACATACAGAAAGAATTAACAAATAATGCCTGAAAAAGACTGGGATTTTATATTTGTAAATAGTCTCAAATGTCATACTGAAAAGAATTTTTAAAATATAATTGACCAAATGTCTCTAGTGTTAATGTCACAAATCACACAACCAACAAAACGGTGATCAATTTAATCGTGACTCTTAAGAACAGATGCATGTCAGTTGTGGACTCGAGCCACTTTGAAGAACACGGTAAATTGGGCACATTGAGAAGTTGGTTGCAAAACTTGATTTCATTGGGAATAAAAACGTACTGAATCTCATTTTCCTTAAGCTTTGGGAACCCTGTCATGTCATTTTTGAAAGAATACAACTGCATTTTTAGTGGGTGCTTAAGACACATTTTTTTTTTCTTTTTTGACTTCACCATTCTTTACAGGGGTCCTTGTTGCTGCCTCACATTCCCACTCTCCCCTGAGAGATGGCCACTCCTGACCCCCCAATGGGAGGGACACCTCGGCCCGGTCCCTCCCCAGGCCCAGGGCTATCTCCAGGTGGTATGATGGGCCCCAGTCCAGGCCCCTCCCCTGGCTCTGCTCATAGTATGATGGGGCCCAGTCCAGGACCTCCTGGATCTGGACACCCGCACCCTCCACAGGGACCCTCAGGATATCCTCAGGAAAACATGCACCAGATGCACAAAGTACCTAAATTATTTTGCCTAATCAATTCCTTTGTTTATTATAAATCTTCAGTCAGTATTTAAAAAATGATGACTTGTAAGGCAGTATCATGCCAATGATCCTCTGCCATTTCGCATTCATCCCAGATTAAAGTTTGTGGATGTTGATGATTTATGGTTGGATTAATAGATAACGTATTCTTTATTGCATTATTTTACTTGCTTGCTTACGGGTTTGTAGTTAATTCATTCCTATGAAATATTGTTATTAAGATACAGTGACCACAATATAGTTGGAGCAAATGAGTCAGTCTTTTTAGTCCATTGTGTAATAACCGTGTACCTTTAATTCAGCCAATGGATGCCATGCACGAGAAGGGCTTGCCCGACGACCCTCGCTACGGTCAAATGAAGGGCATGGGCATGAGACCAGCAGGGCACAGTGGGATGGGGCCTCCTCCGAGCCCCATGGACCAACATTCCCAAGGTATCCATCCAGTTTTCACTCCGCTTATCCTCACAAGGGTTCTGGAGCCCATCCCAGCTGTCTTCGGGCAGTAGGCCGGGAACACACTGAACCAGTTGCCAGCCAATCGCAGGGCACACACAGACAAACAACCATCCGCACTCACACCTAGGGACAATTTGGAGTGTTTGGTAAAATATTTTCAAAATAAATTCATCCAATTTACAATCGCCAGAACAGGAGATTAAATGGTAACATGTTTTAAAAGTTTATTCCTGAACACCACATAGTTATAACAGACCAGCCAGTCATCCAGACAATAAAAGCAAAGATGAGTGAGGGAGAGAGACATCAAGAACACATCTAGCCGGTTTTTCCTCTTGTGTTGTAAAGTTGGCAGCATGAGAGGATAACTTGCGTGAAGAAAACCAGGGAGCCGGCTTCCATTTTCATGCAACCAAAATGGCAGTTACTAAAGGAAGATTGAAAAATGACTAAAAAGTACAACATTCTGACATCATGTGAATTGTAAATGTATGAATATTGGGATTTATGTCTAATATGAAATCTTACAAAGTAACGCCATGTAATTTGCAAAACAAAGGAAGTGCATCGGTTTTCGTCAACTCCACTGCTTTAGTTGGTTTAGCCATTTTAACAATCCAAGTCGAACTTTTTCTTCTGCGTGTTGTGTCTTATCACGCAGCTCCCGAACATATTCAACCCGTGTTCGAAAAAAAGCTCCTTGAAAGTGAATCTAATCCCTGCGTTCTTGCTCCCAAGGTTATCCCTCTCCATTGGGTGGCTCAGAGCATGCACCAAGCCCGGTTCCAGCTAATGGTCCTCCGTCTGGCTCCATGATGCCTGGTGGGCCATCTGGTCCAGGGCCTGGCCCAATGGAGGGTACAGGGGACCCGAATCAGGGAATGGGACAGCCAAACCGTGGGGGTCCTCCAGGTCCAGGTGGACCAGGTGGTGCTGTAGGTGGACCAACGGGTACTGCAGGACCCACGCCTTTCAACCAGAACCAGTTACACCAACTCAGGGCTCAGATTATGGCCTACAAGATGCTGGCACGCAGTCAGCCCTTGCCGGACCACTTGCAGATGGCCGTGCAAGGGAAGAGGCCCATGCCAGGGATGCAGCAACAGCCCATGCCCAACATGGCCACTTCTGCTGCCCCTGTAGGCGGGCCAGGGCCAGGACCAGCTCAGGCCAACTACAACAGACCTCATGGTGAGCAGAGGAAAGATGCGAGAAACATTTTAAGATTTATTTGTTGCGACATGCTGCGTACATAAAAGCATTTGTGTTATAAATGAACGTTCACATTTTTGACCGGTCTGGCACAGGTAATCCGACCTACCTGGAGGTCTCCTGCTATCGTTGTTGAGAATGATAAAATCAAATGTGGAAGTATATAAAGACTTGTGTGCTTTCAGGTATGGTTGGTCCCAATATGCCACCCCCTGGACCTGCAGGAGTTCCCCCAGGCCTACAAGGCCAGCCTGCCAATGGACCTCCTAAGTCATGGCCCGAAGGTACAGTTTGTCCCCAGCCCGGACCTATCTACCTATTTTTTTGTATGATTTAAACAACAATTTGCTCATTTCTAATAAGCGGTGCACATATGATTGCTTGACAAATTTGCTAATGTTGGGCATGATGTTTGTGGTAGCTGACCGTCAACTGCATGCACCACAGCCACAAATTCTCACAGTAATGGACTCTATTCACACATTATTTCCGCATTTAGGGTCTGGAGGCATCCTCGTCTAATGAATAACAAAA